TTGTTCAGAGAATAAGGATGAGAGTCTGGTTGCCTATTGTCTCGGCCTGTTTTGTGTTCAATTTTGGCTCAGTCCCAACCTCATGAATCTCTCCTTTTAATCGAAGAGGGTTAGGGTAGCCCAGGTGAGGTCAGGGGGACTGTGGCCAGCACGGCAGGAGCCCTCTTCATTGCCTGAGGAACAGTTAGTGCTTGCACCCAGCAGTTAGAGACAGTCTGGTTCTGAATCCTGTCACTTTCTAACTAGGAAAGACATTTAAAGCTCAGCTTCATTTTAATCATCTATAAAATTGGGATTATAAATCTTGCCTTATAGTATCCCTGGGAGAATCAAATGGGATAATGCATATAACGTGCTTAACCCAAGGCCTGGCGTGTAGGAAGCACTTAATAAATGCTTATTACTTAGGATCAGATGAGGCTTCCTGCCCCCATGTGTATGCGATGGCTTCCTCATCTCCTGTCCAGCTGGGCTAGAGGTTTAGTTAGGATTTGGTTTGCATACGAGGGAAGAATTCCAAAACTGTAATAATGCAGAAGAGATAGAAGTTTGGCCGGGCGCGGTGGCTCAAGCCTGTAATCCCAGCACTTTGGGAGGCCGAGACGGGCGGATCACGAGGTCAGGAGATCGAGACCATCCTGGCTAACACGGTGAAACCCCGTCTCTACTAAAAAATACAAAAAACTAGCCGGGCGAGGTGGCGGGCGCCTGTAGTCCCAGCTACTCGGGAGGCTGAGGCAGGAGAATGGCGGGAACCCGGGAGGCGGAGCTTGCAGTGAGCTGAGATCCGGCCACTGCACTCCAGCCTGGGCGACAGAGTGAGACTCTGTCTCAAAAAAAAAAAAAAAGAGATAGAAGTTTATTTCTTCTCACATAAAATCTGAATGAGGGGTCAAAGGTGGAATGTGGTTCCTCAGTGTCTGCAATCCAAACACTATCTTGTTGCAATGTCATAAATGTCTTCACTTTATGATCCAAGAGGGCAGCATCCCAAGTTCCAGGCTGCAAGACGAAGTGCCCAAGGAGCCAAAGGAGATGCATGTAAGCTCCCTTAACGAAGGTTCCTGGAAGCAGTTGTACCACCATTTCTGCTTACATCCCATTGGCCAGAACCTAGTCACATGACTACCCCCTAGCTGCAAGGGAATCTGGGGAAATGTAGTCTTTATTATGGCAGCCATGTGCTCAGCTGAACATGGGTGGATCTATCCCTATAGAAGGGGAAAATGAGTATCAGGAACATGCAGCAATCTCTGCCCCCAGGTCCCAGCTTGTCTAGGCTAGCTAGGCACCTGGAAGCCATATACCTGAGCACTAGAAAGCAGGGAATGGGGGCATGCTGCTTCTCCTCAGCCACCCCCAGTGGCTCAGTCTGCAACTGAGAACATGGAACTGGAACTGAAACTTAGGCCTCTTGCCATGAGTCTGAGAAAACTCTGCCCTGTTTAACCACCTCCCTGATGCGTCCCAGCCTCAACACCAAAGGCAGGAGGGATACCAGAGAGGCAGCTGACTGCCCCCTCCTGGCCAAGGAGAGGACAGTGAGCAAAGCTGCAGCTCCGAGGGGCAGAGGGCACAGCAATCTAGCAGGTTTGGCACAGCCTGGTGTAGTTGCCCACTGCAGGACACACAACTACAAATTGTGTGGAGGCCAGGCCACCAGCCAGTGCCACAACCCAAGTGTCTAACTGGAAGGATACATCTGCACTAAGGTCTCCGCCCTTCTTCATGCTGTTAATGAGAACACTCGAGCAGGCCATCTGGCCTTTGCCAGGCTCCCAGCACACCTGACTGCCCTCCCTCCTGGGCTTCCTTTTATCCCAAAAGGTCTCTGAGAAGGGGAGGAAAACTTGCCTGCATCTCTCCACACTGGCACTTCTGAAACAAGCCCTCAGGCCCTTTCTGCTCCCAGAGTTTCAGTACTAGTAGCCACCAGGGGACAGGCAAAACCACAGCCACGGGTGCTCCAGCTCTCCCTCTCCCAGGCCTAGCCCCAGATGTGTCACTAACTCGGGATGCAGCATCCCCTGTTCTCTGACCGTCCTTTTCCTTGCTGTGCCTTGGAGTCACTTCTTAGATATAAGGTTCCTGGGCTCCACTCAGGACTTACTCGTTCTGTTTTTGAACCAGTTTCCCAGGAGATTCATGTGCGGTGCATTTAGGATCCAAGGGACTGGATGACTTTTGCAGTCCAACTTAGAGTGATCTGGTTCTGACAGAGTCAGAGCTGTCTGAGCAGCGCCCCATGGGATGGGGACACCTTTTGCCAGCCCTTTCTTCCCAGGGGCTGGAGTTCTTCAAACCTCCCCAAATTATTCACTTTCCTTTCAGAGTCTGTCCTCCTGAGATGCTAAGCCATTCTCATCCTGCTCTGTTGACTGTGAAATGTCCTGTCGGGTGCCCCACCTCCTGTTTCTATCTGTCAGAACCCTCTTCACTTGTCAAGTCTCAGCTGAAACACAACCTCCTTTAGGGAGCATCTGCAACCTACCCAGTGAGAATTTCCTGCTCCCTTCCTGGGCTGCCATGAACTTTGCTCGTACATCCACTATAGCCCAGGCTGTCCTGAGTGACAGTGAGTTCTCCAGGTTGGTGCATCCTATCTGCTCCACCTCCTCACACCCTCAGCCCCACAGGACTGGGAACTCCTTGAGGCTGGGAATCAAATCTTACCATAGACATCCTGAGCCTGATGATAGATCACTCTTAACCCTGAATGCTTAAAGAGAAAACATAGGAAGCCAGGGCCTGGGCAGGAAACACTGAGTGCTAACAGAAAGAGTCCAGGCTGGGTGTGGTGGCTCACACCTGTAATGCTGGCATTTTGGGAGGCTGAGGTGGGTGGTTCACAAGGCCAGGAGTTCAAGACCAGCCTGACCAAGATGGTGAAACTTCATCTCTACTAAAAACACAAAAAATTAGCCAGGCATGGTGGTGGGTACCTGTAATCCCAGCTACTTGGGAGGCTGAGACAGAGAATTGCTTGAACCCAGGAGGTGGAGGTTGCGGTGAGCCGAGATTGCACCATTGCACTCCAGCCTGGGCAACAAGAGCGAGACTCCGTCTCAAAAAAATAAGTAAATAAATAATAGTCCAAACACAGGTAGCCAGGGCAGGAAGAACTGGTCCATTCCCCTCCCCTAAGCTGAATGAATGAATGGGCTGATCCCCCAGATGATTTTGAGGGTTTGTATTCCAGAAAAAAGAAAAACAGAAAACCCCTTCTCTGTCTGGGACAGAGTCTTGTCTAGGCTTTTAGGCTTAAGGCCTTCTGGCTAATCATTTCTTAATCCACTCAGGAAATCTTCAGGGATTTCCCGTGAGGTGGTGTTGCAGGGCTGTGGAGTCTGTTCTGCATTTAGCAGTCAGGAAGGGGGCCTGCAGAAGGCCTTAGCCTCCTCTGCCCTAGGCCTCTAGGATGAGCCGGAAAGTGGGCTCTGGCCGCTGTGGTTCAACCTGGAATGTGTCCCCATTTCTGTCTGTGCCTCTAGAACACCCTTGGGCTACAGTGTCTGCATTTCTCAGAAAGGCTGGCGTGGGGACAGGAAAGGATTTTTTAGGCTGTGACTGCACCCGCCGGGGCACCTACTGTGTCCCCCCGCTGTGCCAGGCGTTGTGCTGGAGAACTTACCCACTCGCCTGTCTACACAACAACTCTGCAAAGTACAGATGGCTATCCCCATCATAGATATAAAGAAATCGAGGCTTGCAATGCTTGCCGGCTGCAGCCCTAGTGTTAGTGATAGTGACCCTCCCCACCCCGCCCCAATAAAAGAAACGAAGGCTCAGAGAAAGTAGATAACTTGGCAGCATTATGCAACCAGGAAGTTGCAGAGCAGGATCAAAGTTAGGTGCGTCCGGCTCCAAAACTTCTGCTCTTTCTACCTGACCTCACCCAGAACACAGTTGCCAGCAAGGCCTGTTTGTCCCATTCCTCTGGCTGCCGGGTCTCTGAGGTCCCTTTCTTCTCTAACAGGGCATCGCCTGTGGGGTCTCTTTCCCAGGGACCACCTAGGTACAATCCACACAGGCAAGGAGAGGACCAGCAGGCACTAAAGCCAGACACACAGCTCTGTCACTAACCCCCAGTGACCAGAGCCCCACTGTCACTAAGCACACAGCAGCAGGAGGCCTTTGCCAGCTGCAAGGCCCGGGGAGGCCGGGAAGGGGAGGGAATTGGAGGGCCTCAGGGGGTGAGGGGAGGAGAAGCACAGACCCTCCAGATGTGCCCCATCTTTCTCTGCTGCAGAAAACCAAGAGTCTATCTATCTCTTTTTAATGCTCTGCTGTTTTCTTTTGTTGTACACTTAACCGCACGGAAAATAAGTCCTAAGGCTGAAAACTCCAATTTGTCGTGAGGCCGGCAGTGCTGTGCATTTTTCCACATCTGGGTGCCGCCTGAGCCTCTTGTCTGGTTCTGCCCTCAGCCTCCACACCACATGCCCAGTCCCACATATCCAGAGCCCCCCGTCTGGTTACTCTCCAAGCAGTCCCAGCACTGTTTGCTTGGCAGCCTCAGGTTGTTGGCGTCTGGGTTTCCAGGGGCCCTCATAGTTTATTATTCCTTTGACAAAGTCATGGGACTCCGTAAGTAAGCAGAGATCCCTGCCCACGCACGCCTCTCGCATCAGCTGTCCATGAGGGGCTGCTAGGCTGTGCGGGGAAGAAGACAGACTGTGTGTAGATTGAAAACGACTATTTGTATTTACATGTGACAGAATCGAGCCTCTCACTTCCTGGCCCAAGTCATGGCCACGGTTCCCCTGGGTCACCCTGGGCTAGACTGTGAGCTCTGAGAGGGCAGTCAGCTGCCTGCTGTTGGACGCCCGTGCCTAGACAGGGCCTGGCACAAAGAGATGCAAGTAATAAAGGGGCAGAGGGAGAGGTAGCAGCTGCTGTCCAACACAGGGCCACACCTCAGAATGTGACACTAACCCGGCACTGGGACCAACGGCAGCTCCTCCGCCCTGCCCATCACAGCCCCGGGAGTCCCACTGTACCTGCATTGGAACGAGAGCCTGTCAGTCCCGCCGGCCTGCAGGGAAGAGTCTGATGCCCCTCGTGATGCCCCCGAGCTCTCCCCACTCCCTAGTGGCCTGCTGTTCTTGGTCCTCCTTCCTGAGGGTGCCCCGAGCCTCCATAAAGCACAGGTTTCTCACCCCGCGCCACGCTCCCTCTCTGTTTCTTACGGCAGGTACCACGCCGCTTTGTCCACCTCTGGTCGGACACTGTGACCCAAAACCTTTGTCCAGAACACAATGTAGGCAGGAGAAAAAGAGGCTGCAGCAGAGTAAATGACCCAGTCACAGAACACGTGGCCAGATGGCCCCGCAGAGTACTCACTGGCTGAGAGTGGCCGGAGGGTGGTGGCCGGTACAGCAGTGTACCCAGTGCAGCCCACCACACCCACTCTTGTCTGGCAGCAGAGCTGAGTGCACTCCCAGGCCCCAGGAACCCGGGCACTTCCTCCTGACACTGGGGTGGCTACAGCTGAAGCTGAGAAGAGCAGCCCCGCCTGCCGCCATTTCTGAAGGAGCCCAGTGTGGTTACTCAGTGCGCTGTAATTAAACTCATCTGTAATTTGATAAGTGGGAGTAGCCTCACATTTTATAGAGTAATTAAGTCTCACCAAAGGAGCAGCACATGGCGCTTCTGGGACCCAGCGTCTCCCGAGGTTGGCCCCATTCACTCTCCCCGTCTACACATCCCCACAGCTGCTGAGGCCAGGGTGGGCCGCAGCCACAGCCCCGGAAATGCTTCGCACCCCTGCTCTCTCCACTCTCAGGCCTTCCATCGACGTCCAGGCCCCTGGGAGATGGCACAGACACGGCAGACGCACGTGCAACAAGACAGGGAAGCCTGGGCCTCCCTTTCCAGGCTGTTATGCAAAACTGTGGACTAGGAGGAAGCTGGCGGTACTCCTCCCCACCTGCCGGCCGCTCCTCCACCACACACAGGGCCAGGTGCTGACTGTGCTCAGTCCGGCCCAGCTCTGGGCCCCAATGTGAGACTGAGGCAGCCTGAGGGTAAAGGAAGGGGCTGCAGGTATAGAAGTCAGATGGGACCAGGCGCAGTGGCTCATGCCTGTAATCCCAGCACTCTGAGAGGTCGAGGCGGGTGGATCACCTGAGATCAGGAGTTCGAGACCAGCCTGGCCAACATGGAGAAATCCCATCTCTACTAAAAATACAAAAAAAAAAAAAAAAAAAATTAGCCAGTCATGGTGGTGCACACCTGTGATCCCAGCTACTGGAGCGGCTGAGGCAGGAGAATCATTTGAACTTGGGAGGCAGAGGTTGCAGTGAGCTGAGATCGCACCACTGCGCTCCAGCCTGAGTGACAGATCAAGACTCTATCTCAAAAAAAAAAAAAAAAAAAAAAAAAGAGAGAGAGAGAGAGAAGCCAGATGGCCGGGGTCTGGATCTTGTGGGGTCTGGATCTTGTGGGGTCTGGATCTTGCGGGGTCTGAATCTTGGCTCCCTCGTTTCCTGGCTCTGTGATTTTGGGCAAATTGCTTCACCTCCCTGAGGCTCAGTTTCCTTATTTGTAAAATGCAGACAACAGTACTGCCTAACATATAAGCTGTTTATGAGGACCAGGTGAGAGATTTGCCGTGAACTCACTTGGGTAGTTGGGAGGGGCACGTGCATGTGAGGAGCGTCAGCATCTCACCAAAGGTAGTAAACCTGTTTCAAAGCGCTTGGCTGCTTGAGGAGGACTCTAATGACCATTCAGCCCGGTGTGTGTCATCAAGAATGAGGGATTAGATAACCACAGCTGAAACCTTCTGTTCTGATAGCGAGGAGATGGAAATCTTGTCAAATGGGAGACCTGCGCTCTTAAACCTGACTTGGCCTTTCCAAATATCTGGAAGTCTATATCAGAAGGGTTAAATTATTCTGTGCAGGTCTGGGTCATAACCAGGTGCCAAAAACGTTAAGTGAGGTGGTAGATTTCAGCTCAGTCTTCGGATAAATGTTTCTGAACCAAGGAAATGGCCTCAGGAAGTAATGCACTCCCTGTCACTGGAGGGCTTCAAGCCCTGGCTAGCAGGTGCCTCATGCGGGAGCCTGGGAGTCAGGCACGATGATGGCTGAGTGGCCTTTCTCCCCTGGGGTTGTGGGGGTCCTGGCAGCCTGTCCCAGCCCTGGCCCCTTGCCCAACAGCTGCCCACCCTGTGCCTCTGAACGCGCCACTCACAGGTCACCCTTCCTTAGTGCCCGCAAACACCACAGAGACCTCATGCTGTGGGATTGTTTCATCTCCCCCAGAGCACCAGAGCCCTCAGCCCTCTTGCTCTGTCTCTTTGAGCAGAAATCATCACTCACTTCTCAAGCGCTGCGCTCATATAACCTTCGAGCCCTCTGAGGGCAGCTCCAGAATCCGGCTCTGCCTGCTTGGTCTCTGCATTTCTAGAGCCTGCCCTCGGCCTTGACGGAGCAGACTTCCCGCCGGAAGGATACTGGGGCTCCTCCAGCACATTCTCTTGCAGGGGGCAGTGCTCAGAGCCCAAAAAGGAAGGGAAGGAGGGGCTGGCTCGAGTGGCAGGACCCCGTGGCTGCCGCTGTGCGTAGGCTGAGTCTCCTCGCTGTTACGTAACTGAGGTCTTTTTCCCTCCCTATTTTAGATCCTGGTGCCATCTGCCCTGATTTTCCACATCACCAGCTCTGGGCTGGAGGTTAGATCTGGCTTGACACCCAGCTCTCCCCGTTACTTGGTGACAGACTTGGGGAAGCCTGTTTCCGTAAAATAAGATAACCCCACCCTACCCACCTGCCAGGGTTGCTGTGAGAATCAGGTGAGAGGCAGCAGCAGTGCTGGGTAGCAGGACCTGCACTGGGTACTCGTGCCTGGCTGCTGTCTGACCAACCCTGCCTGGGGCTGCCTGAGCCGGGGGAGCCTCTGCTCACTCATGTCGGCTCCTGTATCAAAACGGTTCGCACAGGTTTGCAGAGCCAGGCCCTGTTCGAAATACAGGCAGTGAACAGACCTCACAAGTGGGGAGTCTTTGTCAGACCTCCTGTCATGGGTGGCAAGGGGGCAGCCCTAGCAGCTTGTGACAGGCGGGGCCAGCCACCTGTGTGGGGACAGCCTGTGTGGCTGTCACCTGCTCACACAGCCTCTTGGCCCCAGGTGGAATGCTAGGCACAGCAGGTGCTCTGTAACAACAAGACATTGTCAGGAGCATCTCACAAAAAGCCCTTGCCCAGCCTCCAACCATCAAGGGAAGGGTTTGTGCTGGCTGGAGTCACCAGACCATGGTCCACACAGGCAAAGGCCTCCTCCCTACCCCTTACTCTGACGAGAAGGAGCGGCTCTCTGCCAGCAGACAAACAGTGAGGGTCTAGGTGCCTGGTGACCCCAACTGGCTTCGCTTCCAGGGCTGTTGCGAGCCACAGTGTAATGTGATAGTGAAGAGTGCCATTCAGGAGACTTTTGTTCTGCCCTGGATTTACTGTGACACTGAATGAGTCACTTCCCCTCTTTGGGCCTCAGTTATGTCATCTATAAAATGGGAATTGCACCTCTGTTTTGTCCTCCTATCTTTTTTTTCTTTTCTTTTCTTTTTTGAGACAGTCTCACTCTGTCGCCCAGGCTAGAGTGCAGTGGCATGATCTTGGCTCACTGCAACCTCCACCTCCGGATTCAGTCGATTCTCCTGACTCAGCCTCCCGAGTAGCTGGGATTACAGGCGCACACCACCACACCTGGCTAATTTTTGTACTTTTAGTAGAGACAGGGTTTCACCATGTTGGCCAGCCTGGTCTTGAACTCCTGCCCTCCGGCGATCCACTCGCCTCGGCCTCCCAAAGTGCTGGGATTACAGGCGTTAGCCACCGCGCCCGGCCACCCACTCTGGTAAAGATGAAAACTAGGTCCTGTGCCCCAGCAGGTTCTAAGCCGGCAGAAAGAGAATGGTAAATATGAGGTTTGAGTTAGCACTGCAGTTATTTGGAGGGATAGTAGTCTGGGCTTTTCAATCTCTGGAAATGATTAAAAACCAGAACAGCCTATATAGGCTGGCTCAGCAGTTCTGGCTTACTCAGAAGATTCCAATAGACACATATGCATATGCAGCTTCTCTGACGTTCGGGTCTGTTGATCTGGACCCAGAGTATGTGGCCCCCCTTCCTCTAGTTCCCAGGCAGGGATGCACACGTGCAACTCCAAGGCTCCATCTGTTTTCCTTCAATCAACTTCAGCACGAAAACAAATTCGCCCAACATGTAAAAATGCAATTCCGAAAGGGTCCTGCTAGAACAAGGTCCACGGTACAAAAGCATCCCGTTGTTACGTAAACGCAATGGCCACCAAGCGTCCCCCTCCGGGCTCTGGATCCCTGCCTGCCTCCCCTCCCTCCTCCTAGGGGAGCTGGGACAGGGGACCCCTGTCTGAAGACAGCGGGGACAAAGGCCCAAGAGGCAAGCTGAATTTGCCCATTGTGTGAGAGCCTGAACCCCACAGCCCACTCCAGCTGCCCGGGTTCTTCTGCCTTCTCCTGGCACCAGACCCCAGGTTCGGGCCAGGCAGCTGCTGGAAGAGCGAGAACACTGTTTCTAAAGGGGTGCTGCTTGCTGCTTTGTTCCCAGTTTCCGAGGTGAGAATCCCGAACGCCGTGAGAAACCTCAGGCTCGGGGGGGCCGCTCGGGAGTCCGGGGCGTTGGAGGCCGGCGCCGGCTGCGGAGGACGCGGGCGCCCTCTACCGGCAGGCCCAGCCCGCCCGGGGAGAGGCGGAAATGTCAGTCATGGTCGGATTTGTAAGGCTGGCGCTTGGGACCCTGCCCTAGGCCTAAAGCCACCTGGAGGACAGCGGTGTTTGGTTTTGGTCCAAACATACAGGCCCTGGGCAGTTGCAGGGATGGCAGCTTTCAAACTCAAACCGCAGAAGTGATCATGCAGACTCTGCCTAAAGTGGCATCACTTCTTAACTGAAAATAAGGCCAAGGGGGGAATGAAGGCCAGGCTGAAGCTCTGCAGACCTGTGTGTGTGTGTGTGTGTGTGTGTGTGTGTGCGCGCGCGCATATGTGTAAGCACCGTGTGTGTGTGTGTACGCGCGCATATGTGTAAGCGCCGTGTGTGTGTGTGTGTACACGCGCATATGTGTAAACGCCGTGTGTGTGTGCGCGCGCGCATATGCGTAAGCGCCGTGTGTGTGTGTGTACGCGCGCATATGCGTAAGTGCCGTGTGTGTGTGTACGCACGCATATGTGTAAGCGCCGTGTGTGTGTGTGTACGCACGCATATGTGTAAGCGCCGTGTGTGTGTGTGTGTACGCACGCATATGTGTAAGCACCGTGTGTGTGTGTGCATACGCGCGCATATGTGTGAGCACCATGTGAGGCAAGCAGGGACCCCAAATCCACTGCTAGGGGAGAAGATGCCACAGTGCCCTGCCATGGCACCACTGCTCCTGCCAAGCCTGCCCCATTGACACTGGCCCCAGCCAAGGTAAAACCAAGCAGACCCAAACCAGTAACAACCTATCCTGTCAGCCAGAGAGCATCTCCACACAAGTCTATCCTGTCAGCCAGAGAGCACCTCCACACAACCTATCCTGTCAGCCAGAGAGCACCTCCACACAAGTCTATCCTGTCAGCCAGAGAGCACCTCCACAC